TGAATAAAACATTTGGCTTGGGAAACCAACATAAAATAATCAATTGGTATTCCCGCTTCACGAACTTCATGAAACCAATTGATCATTGCTTCCTCAAGTTCCGGGTTCTGTGGTTTTCTTATTCGTTTATACGAGGATGGAAAGTTTATCAATGTTTCTTTAGAAATTGAACGCAAATGATAAACTTGCTTTGGAGAAATTACTATTTTCAGTTGCTGTCTTACAACTTCGATTACTTTTTGTGTGTTTTGATAAAGATCAATTAATTCAATAATTTTTATTTTGTCTCGTAACATCAATGATGTTCTCGTTTTAACACGTTTGGATTGCATTAAAACTTAATGATTTAACAGATTTATTAAAAGTTTTTAAGTCGAAACAAAGTTGGATACAAAAGTTTTATTTATTATGTTAATTGTGTTAATATATTTGTCTTTGTTTTTTGATTTATTATAAAATTTATTATTCATTTAAGATAAAAATAATTGCCAATTGTTTTCAAGACATAGGCAAAGTGTTTATTTTGGTTAGAAAAAAAATTAAAAATAAAAAAAAATATTTTTGTGACAAAAAACAAACCGAGGTATTTATTTGTTAATTATACAATTCCTCATTTTTTCCCTTATATCGAATAACATTGGTACATGGTATTCCCTTATATCGAATAATGACTGTATTATATTTTGAATGGTTTTGTTATTTTTGAACATTATTTCCCAAAAACGCATTTTGTATACCTTTTAAGTGTTAATCATTAGTTTTAATTAATGACAATTTTATTAATAATTAATAGTTTATATTATTGAGTATAGTAAATAATGGTTTACTATTTTCTGTCTAGTTCTTTTCTTTGTTATATTTTTAGAATAGCGTTAAATAGAAAACAGACTATATTTTAAAAACACCACTCGACAATGGCTTCATTCTTTTTATTTTTTATATTAAACCTCATACTTATTCAATTCAATATAATAATAATAAGAATTGGTATATTTAATATAAATTGATATAATCTGAATAAACTTAATATTAAAATATAAATTAATATATTAACAATTGACTTTAAGTTTGTAATTTAAAATAAAACTCAAATATAATTTTTTTTAATAATTCAAAACCACTTTTCGTTATGAGTAAGTTAGAAATAGTGTATATGATGAATGTTGCGCTTTATATCAACACTGTAGAGTCTCTTAAAACCTTTATGGAAGTCAACAAGAAGTGTAGTTCTTGTCTTAGTGGTCTCTATATCAACCCATTCATAGATGTCTCAGTCCAATCTTTTTCAATGTTCAAAGAGCAGCGCAAGGCGCTGTACACTTCGATATTTCTATTTCTATTAAAGGCGTTCCCCAAAATTGAAACGTTGCAGTGTGTTGATTACATGTTGGGAGATGCCAATAAGGTGATAAATAAAGTGAAGAAAATCCGCCTTGTGAAGACTCCACACAACAGAAATCGGTTATCTGTTGTTGTTGCATGCGCACACAACCACCCTAAAATTGCGCCTCAAGCAATTCTAAAAATAGTGAATTTGTGTGTTGTGACGAAGAATGAGGCAGTTATACCAAATGAGATGTATACGAGTCTTGAGAGTGTGCAGATCGATGGGTGGATCCGCAACAAAGATCTGCTGAATGCGATATTTGGACTTCCTAGTGTGAGAAAAGTGACAATTTGGAATTGCACACATATCAGTTATTTGAACACAATTTGGGAGTGCATTTCTGAAGTCAAGTTGAAGCACCAACACAAATTAGACAACGTCAACATTTCTGTGTTTATTGAGAAAAGCATTTCAACAGA